GGGCCAACATGCCCGTCGGCACCCCCATCCACCGCCTCATGATCGACCCCTACATCGCCGTGGTGGCGGGGGCCCTGGCCACCTGCAACATCCCCCTGGCCTTCCTGGAGCCCACCATCGCCAACTGGATGAAGGAGTCCATGGGGGCCAGTGAGTGGGAGGTGGGCCTCACCTGGCTGCCCGCCTTCTTCCCCCACGTGCTGGGCGTCTACGTCACTGTCCGGCTGGCCGCCGCGTACCCCCACCTCCAGTGGTTTTACGGGGCCCTAGGCATGGCCATCATCGGTGCCAGCTCCTGCCTGGTGCCAGCCTGCAGGAATTTCGGGCAGGTCATCATTCCCCTCTGCGGCATCTGCTTTGGCATCGCCTTGGTGGACACAGCCCTGCTGCCCACCCTGGCCTTCCTGGTGGACGTGCGCCACGTCTCTGTCTACGGCAGCGTCTACGCCATCGCAGACATCTCCTACTCTGTGGCATATGCCCTGGGGCCCATTGTGGCCGGCCAGATTGTGCACACCATGGGCTTTGCGCAGCTCAACCTGGGCATGGGGCTTGCCAACGTGCTTTATGCCCCTGTCCTCCTCTTCCTCAAAAATGTCTGCCAAATGAAACCCTCTCACTCAGAGAGGAACATCCTCCTTGAAGAAGGACCTAAGGGACTCTACGATACCATCAAAATGGAGGAGCGCAAAGGCATGGGCAAAAGCCTCCGGCCAGCAGGTGACACAGAGGAGAACGGCATGGACTCCTACCACAGAGACCTGACAGGAGTGTCCGAGGAGGACTCCTCAGACTATGAGTACAGCTAGGTTCCCCCACACAGCCCAGCCCCAGGAGCAGGGAGGGGTGTGTGGGAGAGAGGAAAAGAGGGAGGATGAAAGCATTATTGCATTATGTTTCTGTACTGATGTGCAATATATACAGTTTAACCTTTGTCATGATGTAATGGCTTTCTTCTAGACTTATTTTTAATCGGTATTTCCTTCAGCATTCAGGCAAGGTGGAGGAGGTGGGGAAGGGGGGGTACAATCCTGAAGAAAATTATCTGAGTAATCATTGGTATCAATCTGGGGGGGTGGGGGGAGAGGGGAATCCTTCAAAAAACCCAACATCAACGAAACAAAAAAACAGCCTCATAGCTGGGGTATAATTGTGCAAAGTTTTCTCAAGCTGAAACTGTGTGTGACATACTGTATATCTCTGTAAAAATATAAGAAAAGCAGAAAAGTCTGTGTAAAAATTTTGAATGGCATATTCAGGGACTTAGTAAATCTTGTGTACATATACTTAGATTTTCAGTTGGATTCGTCTATTTAAGAAGAGCAACAACTATCACAATGTTTTATTCTTCCTTGGGAATAAACTGAAGTATTGTACTTTTTCTTTTCTCTCTTGTGCTGCTCTCCAGTAAGTGCAATATGCTGTATTATGTTGAAGTCCAAACTACAAGAATAATACAATCTGAATAAATGAAATTGAAGGGGATCGATTGTCTTTGTTTCATTGTTGAGGGCTGCTTGAGGGAGGGAGTTGGTTGTGCTCAGTGTAACCCCTATGGTAACGGTTCCTCATAACAAACCTCATAGGTTACCAAAATCACCCAGCAGAACATCCCGGTACAAAATGTTCTCATTCACTCTTCAAAACATATGTTAATGGTCCACACAAACAGCATCGCACTGCAAACAAGCTATCGATAGCCTAAAACCAGCTACTCTTATTCTCATGCAAATTTATTTTTAATTCTCACAATCGTGAATTTCAGTTTTCGAATATTCCAAAAATTACACATTACCAGCAGTTAGAGATGCAACACTGAAAAACGCCTTTCTTGGTGCTGAGTGATGCCCCAATTGCAAAGTACCCATCTCAGTGCAGCCGACAGGGATTAAACAAAACAAAAGATGAGTGAAGCGCTTCATTCAAACCTTTGCAAATAGTGGAAACCTTCAGTCCAACCGCAATGAAACCAGAGTGCGCATTTTGCCCTGTAAATTTATCGTGATATAAAATAAAATCGTTTATTTAAATTCCCAGCTCATTCCGAAACAAAATAAATTACTTATAATCTCAAGAGGGGAAAAAAAAGTTATATAAATGGCCACAGCAACTATTAAAAGGCTTCCACCTGACCCTGGGGAGCTGGGCGCCGTGAAGAAAAACCGCTCGCCGGTTCCGCCGAGCCGCGCTGAGCGGGCCGCGCGTCCCCGCCGCGCCGCAGCTCCTGTCGGGGCGGCCGGATCGCTGCTCACGCAGCGCAAAACTCGTGAAAACGCCACGGCGGTGCTTTGGCACAGCGGGTTGGTGAAGGAGAAATGGCCACCGCGGTATGAGCTGAGCCCCGCTTCCCTAAACCACAGCCGCCTTCTTTGCGGTAAGCGGTAATTGCGGCGCCTCCTCTAGCCCGCTGCACTGGGGCTGCGCCCGCTCTC